TAGTAGTGCTACCGGAATCTCCGTTAATCAATGGTTTTCTTCTTGATCCTTGTTGTTATTATGTTGATGATCCAAGAGATGACAAAATTGATGATGAATCATTTATTGTGACAATTGGTCTTGGGGATTTTACATTTTACAATCTAATGATGTTATTTGTATTATCACCCATGTAAAACTAAAATAGGCATTTAACGAAGCGAGTCTTGAAATTAACGCCAAAAGTTGCGTTAAAAGACAAATTAACGACGTTTAACGAAGAAAACTTCTAGAATTTCCGTTAAATTTCGGAAAATCGTGAAAAAGCGTTAGATTTTTCACGCTTTTTCACGCATGATTGTGCTTTTCACGATCACTAACTCGTCACATGTCGTTAAATATTTCATTTGTTTTCATGCGTGAAGTTTTTAACGAACTTTCTTGCGTTTTTTTTCATTTTAACGAACTTAATCGTGTTATCTATCGTTAAAAAGTTGCCATCATTTTCAAGTGTGAGATTTTTAACGAACTTTCTTGCGTTTTTTTTCATTTTAACGAACTTTGTCTTGTTATCTATCGTTAAAAAGTTGCCATCGTCTACGCATGTGAAAATAGTTAACGATATCATTTGAATTTTTTATTTTTAACGAAGCTTACCGTGTTAACCATCGTTAAATATTTCATTCTTTTTGGCGCTTGAAGATGTTTAATGGTGTTACTTGAGTTCGTTTAATTTTAACGAATCATATCGTATTAATCGTCGTTAAATAGTACATTGAAGTTTTGAGTCAGTAGTTGTTAAGTAGCCATCGTACTATGAGTTGAATGTTTAGGCTTAATCTGGAATGGTAAAAATAAGCTTTTTTTATATATCATGAGGATTCTTCAAGATTGGGATAGCGAAAAAAACAAACTGTGCTAGAGTTTTTTTTCCAGTAGACGCATTTTTCAATGATATCATTTACTGGTACATAATAATAGTTATTGTTTTTATGCAATTGTCCTTCTTGAATTGATGTTATATCGATTCTTTGACCGTTTGTAACTATTGATAAGTTTTTGACATCAGAAAGCGGCCAAAGTTCCAGTAAAATTTCATCATCTGTAGCAATAAATATGGCAGTTATTAAACCAAAATGAATTGCATCTTGAATTCTGAATAGAACTGCAGAATCATCAGCTGCCTTTGATTTTGAGTAGTCTGCAGTTGTATAACGAACACGTCCCATCTTGATTGTCCCATAAAACTGAAGATTTTCGTTCGAGAATAAAGTGGAGATTCTGTTATTGGACGGTATTGAATGCATAGTCTGAGGCACACTTAATGATGATCTATAATAGCCACGACCAAACATCATATTTTCAATGTGGTTTTTAAGTTGAATATTCATTGTTGAATCATGAAGTTGTAAAAGGTCTTCCATTAAGGACGTTCAGGTAAGAGTCGAGTTTTGTTTTTTCACGCGTGAAAACAAATGAAATATTTAACGATAGTTCATACGGTAAGATTCGTTAAAAACAAAAAAAAACTCAAGAAACATCGTTAAATATCTTCACACGTGAAAAAGGATCAAATGTTTAACGACATGTAACGAGTTAGTTATCGTTAAAAAGACAATCACGCGTGAAACAGCGTGAAAAGTCTAACGCGTTTTCACGAATTCTCGAAATTTAACGAAAGTTCGCGAATTTCGCTTCATGAAACTTTGTTAGTTTATCTTTTAACGCAACTTTTGGCGTTAATTCCAGCGCCTGCTTCGATAAATGTTCTTTTTTAAAATTCTATATAAGTGCCTCGCTCCTTTGACATCTGATATAAAAAGAATTTCAGAAAAAACCTACTAACTCATATATGAATAAACAGTAATCCTGAAAATTGCGTCTAATGATGTGAGTGGCATGGAAACACATATGATTCAAGCTTGAAACTTGAATTAAGCTTTCAAGTATGATACTACGATCAATGCGAGCTAAGTATATCCGTTCACCCACGTGTCTTTCATGGATGACCCCTAAGCATGCACGTCTGAATATATTTAAACTTCCAATCATTTCGATTTCTTCTCGACGAGTAGCTTTGATAGTTCGCATTATTATTCCTAAATATCAATGAAACCATATTTAAAAGATTGGTAGGAAAAAATCAAGATATCACCTAAAATATTTTCAAAGTGAAATGTAGAGTAAGAAGTCAATGGACCGTAATCATTAACAGTTTGTCCAATATGATTAAGGGAATGTATAACTTGTTGATTATGTCGAGCCGTGTAGAGTTTTGGATATTCAATGAGAAACTCATGAAGAAGACTTTTTACGTTATCGACCATGACCATGTTTATAGTTCGGTGCTCCGAAAAATGAATAGCTACTACTAATTTCAGAAAATGATCGTAATATTTAGCTTTTAAGACCTTTTTAAAGACCACAAATCCAAAAAGAAGGACCATCCTTAATTCACTGGCTTTAAACTTTTTGAATTTAAGTAGTGAACGTGGTCGTCGACCAGTTGTTGAAGGAAAACGAAACGATTGAAGCATTGATGACAGTTGATGGATATGATTAAAACACGACCAATCTTCTCTTTTATAATCAGCACGAAGCCAAAGAGACAATAACTTCCTCTTATAAAAAATAAAAAAATATTAGGTATGGATTTAGATGTCAAGTATACTACTTACAGTTACACCTTGATACACGTTGTGTAGATTATCTGATACAAAACTGAATCCAACGTCAAAATATTTCAATTGACGAAGCACACAAGGACCGAGGATTCCATGTTCAGACTCCTTATTTTTGATTAATTTTTGCTTGAGTTGACGCTTACCTTTGCGATCAAGTGAATGACGATTAATTTTTTCTATTTCAATATCATTTAGTTCTTTAATTAAAATAAGATAATCATATCGATCATTTGTTCTTAACTGTGGTTGAATCAGAGAGTTTTCAATAGGAAAACAATTAATTCGATGATCAGAATTGGCAGATGACAACACAGTATAGCCTAAGTAAATATCCCATGTAAAAATTTATGTAAATTTAACGATTTAACGAAATTTAATGTTACATTTTTGACCGTGAGAAAGCGTTAGAAATATGAACTAAACGAAGTCTCATGCGTATTTTTCCGTTAAAACGAGATTAACGTAAAATAACTCGTGAGACTTCGTGAAAAAGCATCTTTTTGACTCGTTTTCACGGTCTACAATGTAACATTAAATTCCGTCAAATCGCCGAATTTATATAAATTTTTACACGAGACTTCTGAAAATAAGAAAAGTGTGTATGGAAAAAATTTTTACCACGAATTTCACATCTTCCGCATCCAAATTTTGCAGTTGGTTCGGGTAAATTTTGTACCAATGCTTGTGCTGGTTTATCCATACATGCACAAATTAAAAAAACTTTTAAAAATCGTGAAACGTAGCCTGCATCTGAACAGCATTCAAAATAAGACCCTTTCTCCAACTCCTTAAGTTGTAGAATAATTGTTTCCAACACAGCCGACATTTCAAACCGCTTTGGTTTTGCAGGACCAGGCCAGACTCCACCAAGTATTAAGTTTTGGAAGGTGAATCGCTTTTTACGTTTAATTTCATTAATTATAAAAGTTACAGGCCATATTGACTTTTCTGTACTTTTAAATGGTTGTATTCCGTCTGTACTCATAGTTAGAGTTAAAATGTCGTCAGATTCTTCATCAAGTAGTTTTCGATAATAGTTACCATCAACAATATCTTTCATTGTTAAAATTGAATGTGGTGTAACGTTTGTACGTTTTTGTAAATACATATCTGCTGTAGTAGCTAATATTGAAGAAAGTTGATCACGAATATTAAAAGTATAAAAATAATTTGGCATTGATGCAGGGGGTACAAAACGCCAGCTACAATTAGCATTTGAGCAAGTGAACTTGTTATCAGAGACCTTTTTGCAATTTGGACATATCCACCACACTGTTCGATCAAGAGTAGATGCACATGATTTATCAAGTGCTTTTTTGATTTGAAACCAACTACGAGGAGCACCAGGCACATTTAAAACACACAATAGTGAACATATATCGTTGATGCAGACTGCTGATAAAGAATGACGATTTTTCAGCGCGACTAAAGTCGCAGCTAAATCTACTTTTTCAATAGGTCTTGATAATGAATCTGAACTTGTCGAGAGTCTATAAAATAATCAAAAAATTATATAATTAGAGCGATGAACACTATTTCTAGGACAAGCAGTTTCTAAAACAATAATAGATCCTGTGATTAAAGGTCCATGCAAAAAATGCTGATGAATTTAGCGAATTAACGAAAATATATATTTCATTTTCAGTTGTACAAACGCGTGAAAACGAGACGTCTTTTAACGAAGTTTCATGCATTTTTCTACGTTAGTTACTATTCACGAAAAAACATGCGTAATATTTCGTTAACAGACGTCTTTTTTCACGCATTTTCACGATCTAAAAGGTAACATCATTTTGCTTTAATTAGTTGAACAAATGAATATTTTTACATGAGGAAAAGAAGAAAAAGAAATCAACACTAATGCACTACTCTAGGTGATGAAAAGAGTTTTCGAAACATTATACATACATATTTTGTTTATCTTGAGGTTCATAAGACTCATTCCTAGTTGGAGATGTAAAATTTGAAAGCGAACAATCATCATTAAAACGTTGCGATTGATCATCTGGAGAAGCAGCAATGTTAATAGATTCATTGATGAAATTGGTGGTAGTTTGAGTCCATTGAGTTAAATCCTCATTCAGCTGCTCGCATTCCTTCACTAAATTTAAAAAATGAGTAAACTTCTCAATTGACAGAATTTTTAAGTTTCAACACACAAAAACGACCATTTGCTTTGGCAAGAAGCATCATTCTTCGTCGATACTCGAAATTCTTTCGATTAAGTCGCCAATCAGCCACCTTTTCTGTCATTTTGCTTCAAAAAAAGTCAAAGTGACAATGTTTTCAATGATTAATTACAAACAGAATATATAAAACTATCCAACAAAATTCATAAATTTTTAATTACAATGAAGAAAAACCCAATGGTTTCTAATCTTCTAGTACTCTTTATCTTTCAAAGCTTTTATTGTTCATTTATATGCCTACACGTATAAACATAATTGAGAAAAAACAAAAAAAAAATAAAGTTCATCACTGAATATTCAGTACAAAAAAAAACAAATATAACGAGAAAAATGCAAATAGAAATAAAATCTATCAAGTAACATCGAAAATAAGTCTAGATAAGTTTCTGAAATCAATAATATTTCATTGATTTCTTGGTAAATCATTTTCTTTATTGATGTTGGATTTTTTTTTTCCAATAAACTTTGAATTATTGGAAGTTGATTGTTGAGATTCATTTTTTCCATCTTGTTTTTGCTGAGTTTTGGCACTACGAAAAACATTGTTAATACTTTCATTAATTTTTCCTCCCGTCAGACTTTCCATACCATGAAACATGTTAACGTAATCTATAATATAAATATATTATTTAATATTAAATCACAAAAAGGAATTACCATGAACAGCTTGTCGAAGATCATCATCAATACCTTCTTCAAGAGCATCCATTCGAGCATGCAGTGGATAACAGGCACGTATAATAGAACGAGCTGTTCTTGTACCATTCGGCTTTTGTAGTCTATTCAATTGTTCTTCGCTCATACTTAATCGGTCACAAATCTTAATCAATTTTTCACC